TTGTCTAAGAATAAAGGAGAGAATCTGTGGCTCAAAGGAGAGCTGCATATTGATGAAATCGTTTCTGCTGTGGAATTGGTGCTCTCTCTAAATAGATGATTTTGGCCTTGGTTTAATTTTTACAGATCTTTATAGAATATTAAGTAATATTTTATAGACTTGAGATGGCTCGGGCTGTGGAACAGTAGATGATCTCTTCATGATCCCGCCCAACGCAGACCTTGGTTCGGTTGGGAGGACCTTGGAGTGCACAGTGTGGGAGCAGAGGCCACCCATGGTGAGGAGAGGGGCCCTGGAAAGCTGTCTTGCTCAGCCTCCTTCAGGATTCCAGACGAGTCAAGACAAGCCCTTGCATGGAGATAAGAAAACACTACCTCTGCTGACCTCCTGTGAGTCGGCTTCTATTTTGGCCTCTTCCATGCTCCCTAGATCCATGTAGAATATATTTAAGAAAGGTGGGGAAAAAAAGAAAAGAAGAAGTACCATAGCCAACCCTGAAAAACAGGACAAAAACAGTAAGCAGAGATAGCAGTTGCTGGAAGTTTGGTGCTGCAGACGGTGCAATCTGCCATCCCATTTGTTGATCTCGCATGCCATGCTTCAGTTGGCACCACGGCTGCCAGGAACCACCCCCTCCTTTTCCATCTGAAGCAGGAAAAGTGGTATTATAACAGTGTTAACTCTTCCTGCCCTACAGCCTAGAGCTGCTGCTTCTGTACTGGAGGCTTAATAATCTTGGCCACATTAGGACCTACAGAGATGACAGAATGGGAGAATTTTAGAAGAGTAAGGGGCCTGAGGGAATTTTTAGAAAAAGAAAAGCAGCACTTAGTCTTCCCAGATTAGACTGCATGTGACAATAGGGAGAGGTCATTTGAATTTTGAAGAATGATGCCCACTGAGGAGATCTGTCTTTACCAGCGATCTGATCTAAATCCTGGCAAATCAACACTGACAGCGGGAGGTGGGACAGGGCTGGAGAAGCCTACTGAGCTGGACTAAGAGAAAAGCAAGATAGGTAGATGGAGGTGAAACGGCAAGGCCTAGGAAGAAAAAAAAAATCAATCCAGCACCCTTAGAAGATGCCATGACATTTCAGGAGGTAAATCGTTTAGTCCTGGTAACAATTTAGTGTGTAGAATGCAGCTATTAATTAAGTTACTTAAGCAATCACTTAAAATCACTCATAATGCATTTCCTGTCTTGTTTAACGTGCTTTTATGGAAATGAGAGAAGAGAGCCCAATTCCAGGAACATGGTGAAGTCCAAAACTTACTAACATCACTGTTATCAAGTGTACGAGGGAGACTGTGGTTTAGATTGTAAAAGATACTGTGAATAGCTTTGTTCAGATGAAAGAAGTGGAAGTTATCATTGTCAGTGAATTAGTTAATTTGTATATGTAAATGCTTAGGACAATGCCTGGCACAGCATAAATACTAATAAGTACTATGTGTTAGTTGCTGCTACTACTGTGCTGCTATTGGTATTAATTATTAGGATTTTCAGAACTAGAACTCATATAGTCTTTAAGCAGAAAACATGTATCAAAGTTTCACAAAAATTGTATTTATAGTCCTCAGCATAGAAAATATCAGATGAAGTTCTTCTTTAAGATGCTTAATTCTTGGAAATACCCTCTGTCGTGGTTGGAAAACTGATTTTCTGCTTCTCTGTTGGGTCTGATCAGGGTGGAGGAGAAGCCACCAACTCAGAGCCCAGGGCAGGGCCTTTGCCACCAGGCATTACTTGAAGTAACCCTCTATTTCATGTGAAGTGGGATTCAAGTATTATAATCAGATTGTGTGTGCTTGTTTTAGACTTAAGGCCCATAAATGTCAGCTTCTTTAGGGAACAGTCAGGTAATTGAAGAATGAGAAGATGACCCCTGGCCCAGGAAGGAGATAGTCCCAGATACTCTCTCAAACTAATCCTCTTCAAACTGAAAACAGGCTGGGCACACTGGCTCATGCCTCTAATTCCAGCACTTTGGGAGGCCAAGGCGGATGGATCACTTGAGGTCAGGAGTTTGAGACCAGCCTAGCCAACATGGTGAAACCGCGTCTCTACTAAAAGCACAAAAATTAGCCAAGTTTGATGGTGCATGCCTGTAATCCCAGCTACTTGGGAGGCTGAGACAGGAGAATCACTTGAACGCAGGATGCGGAGGTTGCTGTGAGCTGAGATTGCACCACTACACTCCAGCAACAGGGCAACACTCTGTCTCAAAAAAAAATCCCATTATTGGGTATATACCCAAAGGAATATAAACAAATCGTTCTACCATAAAGACACATGCACACATGTGTTCATTGTAGCACTATTCACAATAGCAAAGACACTGAATCAACGTAAATGTCTATCAATGGTGGATTGGATAAACACCATGTAGTACATATACATCATGGAATACCATGCAGCCATAAAAAAAGAATGAGATCATGTCCTTTGCAGAAACATGGATAGAGCAGGAGGCCATTATCCTTAGCAAACTAACACAAGAACAGAAAACCAAATACCACAAGTTCTCACTTATAAGTGGGAGCTAAATGATAAGAACTCATGGACACAAAGAAGGGAACAACAGACACTGGGGCCTACTTGAAGGTGGAGGGTGGGAGAAGGAAGAGGATCAGGAAAAATAACTATTGGGTAGTAAGCTTAGTACCTGGGCGATGAAATAATCTGCATACCACAGCCCCATGACTCAAGATTGCCCATGTAACAAACCTGCTCATGTACCCCTGAGCCTAAAAAGTTAAAAAAAAAAAAAGAGACTTTTCTGCTGCCCACCCAACCCCATGCTCCCCTCCACATCTCTCTGTATCTCACAGCTTCCAGGGTTGAACTCAAATTCTTTCGTGATAACTCTGCTGAACCTGACACTGTTCCCAGAGCATCCTCTTTTCGAAACTCTTGTAAGACTACTAGGCCTGCACCACCGAGTTTATTGCTATTAGTTAGCATTTTATTGCTAGGACATAAAAAGAGTTCACAGCAGTGCCCTAATCATTGGTCAATACAATTTGTGCTTTGCCTGTTGTATCTCATGTGATCTCACAGTACGAATTGTATCTCCATTTTGCAAATAAGTTAATGGATGCACAGAGAGGCCAAGCACCTGTGTGAGCCCAGCCTGCCTGGCTCTGGACCTGGGACTCATAATCCGCTTCCGCATCTCGCTTCTTCGTTTGCCATTTTAGTCTTTGCTGTTTCCCCACGTATGTTAGCTTTGTCTTCTCAGTAGGTGAGAAGCTCTTCAGAACACTGACTCTCAGACTTGGTTATGTGTGTGTATTCCTAGGCCCCTGGCATTAAGAACTTATCTGAGGACTAACATTCTATTTCCTGGGGTGGAGTCAGGAGCAGGGTCTCCTAACTGGATGACCACTGTGGTTGGTTGAATGCTGTGAGTTGAAATGTCTCCAAAAATGAACTCTCTCCTGGACCATCTCCAGTTTTTGCTGTAGCATTAGCCGCGGTCCTTAATGTTTGGCAAATGGTGTCCAGTTGTGCAAGCAGCAGCCTTGCTTCTCTGCAGTGAATGTCAAGGAAAACTTTTGGTTCTTTTAGCAAGAACAAGCAGGAACAAGTTGGTATTGGCAGAGAAGGCCTAGGTAAATCCAAAAGTTGTACTTTGCCCCCAATCTTCCCCAATTTCCTGGCCACACCCGACACCCTGGCATCGCACCTGGACATGTGCTCCTCGATGAAAATGTGCCCAGCCCTTGCCCCTTTGTCCCCTTTTCTTAAGGCTGCTGCTAATTACTGACCCGATCAACAAAGTCAGGTTTATGATCGTCCCTTCTAGTGACATATTTGCATTTTAAAAGGAGATAATTCTTTAACTGTTCTGCAAGAAGGCAAAGGAGGAGAAAAAGTACATGACACCCTGTATGGGAGGCAGATGTTAGTGTAGAAAGGACTCTAGAGTCTGGGTAACCCTAGAATCAAATCCTGACCTTACCCCTCACCAGCCATGTTACCTGGGCGGCTTCTCCAGGCCCTAGTTTCTTGTCTATAAAATGGCACAGTGCCTGGCACTGTATATATAGATATATATATAATACCATCCAGGCCAGTTGTAGCCCTCCAATGAGTATTCATTTAAAATCTCCTCCTCCCAGGTCACCTTCGTTGACACCCATGGGGAAGGCTGATCTGGACTCATATCTGGACATTGTTGTCAAACTAAAAGCACAGTGATTTTTATATCTTGTTTAATTTCAAAATGTTCTCAGCTTAGGGTTTGTAAAAACATTTTAAAATTGTGAAATATAACCTATATACAGAAAAGTGCATAAAACAGGTATGCACAATTCAGCAAGTAATTATAAAGGTGTCACTCATGTAACCACCACCCTGGGCAAGAATTGGTAGATACTGCCTTAAAGTAGTGTAGCTATGTAACACGGTGCTTCTCCACGCTGTGGAGGGGCAGTTTTGGCTGTCACATCTGGAGAGGTATTGTCATCTAGTGGGTGGAGGCCAGGGATGCTGCTAAATGCTCTACAATGCAGAGGACACCTCCCCACAACAAAGAATTATCCAGTCCCAAGTGTCAATCCTGCCCAAACTCAAAAACACCATGCTTCATCAGGAGATGAAATTTTAAGGAAAGATTTGGAATTTCAAGAAACCGACTATTGTCAAAACTTAGATTTCCATGACACATTTTTAGTAATGCTGTCCCACTCAGCTAATTGTTCTCTGAAGGAGAAAAAGAAAGGCGAGCCAGAATTTCAGATGAAGGATCTGAAGGTAAGAGGCGTTGCTGGTCGCATCTGTCAGTTTGTATTCTTTCATTGCTGCCAGGTGCTTATAATCTCCTCTGTCACTTTGCACTGCTCTTGGGAATCAAATACTGTACAAGTGAGTCGAAGCCAGATGTGTTCCATTTTACTATTAATGCAATTGTGAATAAATTAAATACTATCTTCTGCCCCACAATGCGTTCTAGCCCCCTTTGCACTTGTGACTCTGTCTTTTGTTTATTGCAGGATTTAGTCGTCCGTGTTGTTTTTATTCTTGGCAACCTGACGGCGAAAAATAACCAGGCTCGTGAACAATTTTCCAAAGAGAAAGGGAGCATCCAAACTCTGCTGTCATTATTCCAGATGTTCCATCAGCTGGATCTGCAGTCCCAGAAGCCGGTGGGCCAACGAGGCGAGCAGCACAGGGCGCAGAGGCCACCGTCAGAGGCAGAGGACGTGCTCATCAAGCTGACCCGCGTGCTGGCCAACATTGCCATCCACCCGGGCGTGGGCCCGGTACTGGCCGCCAACCCGGCGATAGTGGGCCTGCTCCTGACCACGCTGGGTGAGAACCGCGGCCCACTGGCTGCAGCAGGCACAACCGACTTTCCTGCAGCCCAAAGACCGTTCTGTGTCTGGGGTGTGATAAGGATTTTATTAGCACAAGTGGCTCCCTATGCAAAAGTCTTAGCTGTATGAAGGAAATTCCCTCTTCTGTTCAGAACTGTCTTAAAAGTAATCTAGATTTTTAGAAAAGGAAAAGAAAACATAGTAATAGAGATTATTACTAAAACCCACCAAATTGTACACTTTAAAAGGGTGAATTTTATGGTTTGTGAATTATATTGCAATTTTTTAAAAATTATACTTAGCAAATGGAGAAAACTTGGCTAAACTAACCACAAAGAGTTTAAAATTCCAAATATTTGAGTTTAAAATCCCACATCCCAAATATTGTGGGCAATCCACATAATTAAAATTAATTCCTTTTTTTTTCCTCTTCAGGTTCTTACATTATTTGTAATTACAGTCCCCAGTCATTCAAGTCCTATTAATTCCCCTTGTATTAGCACAGATTGCCATAACAAAATACCACAGATTGGGCAACTTTGTCAGAAATTTATTTCTCATGCTTCTGGAGGCAGAGAAATTCAAGAGTAAGGTGCCAGACAGTTCAGCTCCTGGTGAGGGCTCTTCCTCCTGGCCTGCAGACAGCCACCTACTCACTGTGTGCTCACATGGCTATTCCTTGGTGCAAGCACTTGTGGAGTAGGCGACAGTCTTTCTCTCCCCTTCCTCTTTTTATAAAGTCACCAATCCTATCATATTAGGACCGTACCCTTATGGGTTCTGTAACCTGCTATATCTCTTCAAAGCCCTATCTCCAAATACAAGCATATTGGGAGTAGGGCTTCAACATATGAGTTTTGTTGGGCACACAATTCAGTCCATGGCAACCCTTACACTTTTTAGGCCTGTCATCTCCCACAGGCACTTCTGCCTGCTAGTGTGTAGGGAAATTAACTGCAACCCAAGGTAATCAATTTTGCCACTACTAGCTGGGCCTGCTGGCTCAGGCCTGTAATCCCAGCACTTTGAGAGGCTGAGGTGGGTGGATCACAAGGTCAGGAGTTTGAGACCAGCCTGGCCAACATGGTGAAACCCCCTTCTCTACTAGAATACAAAAATTAGCTGGGCATGGTGGTGTGCACCTATAATCCCAGCTACTCAGGAGGCTGAGGCAGAAGAATCGTTTGAAATCAGGAGGCAGAGGCTGCAGTGGGCTGAGATCGTGCCACTGCACTCCAGCCTAGGTGACACAGTGAGACTCTGTCTCCAAAAAAAAGAAAATTAACTACTACTAACCATACTTGTGAAAAATGTTGTTGTTTTGGAAGGAAGCTTAATGCCTGACACAAATGATGTTTTGGAGGAGCAAACTGTGAACTCCCTGCTCCCCCTCGCCTCCACTATTCAACTCAAGAGCCATTTCCTGAGCTCTTTCTGGGTAATGAGTTCTGTGCTATGCATTCAGTTTTGTTTATTCTGCTCAGACTGCCATAACAAAATCTCATAAACTGGGGAGCTTCAACAGACATGTATTTTCTCACAGTTCTGGAAACTGGAAGTCCGAGACCAAGATGCCAGCAGGATCAGGGTCTGGTGTGGGCTCCCCTTCCTGGCCTGTGGTTGATTGCCCTCTCACTGGGTCCTCATGTGCTGAAGAGAGCACTCTCTGGGGTCCCTTCTACTTCTTGTAAGGGTACCAGCTCTACTGGATAAGGGCCCCACCCTTCTGACCTCGTTTAACCTTTATCACTTCCCCACAGGACCTAGCTCCAAATACAGTCACATTGAGGGGATAGGGCTTCTACATGTGCATTCTGGGGGACACCAACATTCAGTTTAGAACAAGGTTTTAAAAATGGAGGCTGGCATGTGCTTTCAAGGAATTCGGTATATATGGTAGAGGGACATCGGGTGCACAGACAAGAACTGCAGTTTCTGAGAAGGGCAGAAGCTAGGCGCACACAGCTAAGGGACGGGTGGCAGAGCCCGGCTGTGGGCTTGTGAGTGACAAGGCCGTGCTTCACTATGGAGCTTTACGGTTGAAAACGCATTTTCGTATCTGTTAGCTCACAACAATGTCAGGGCACGTTTTGTTATTTTCATCATTTCACAGATGAGGAAACAGGCTCTGCGAGATATAGTGACTTTCACAGGTCACAAAGTGAGCAAGTGGCAAAGTTGCTGGGCCCCTGACCTGTGCTTCCCCGCACCCCACATCACATGTCACCCGTCTAGAGAAAGGACTCTTCAATTCTGACTGGGATCTGCACCATGACTTACCACTTCCGTGTAGATAACTCAGCAATCTCTGTGTTTAGGCTTGAACTCTTTTCCAAGCTGCTGACTGCACATTAAGCCGCATGGAAGAATATGCACATAACAGTGAGAGAAATTCAGTTTCTGTTCCAACCTCAAAATGTTCAGCCTTTGCTCTGTAGCATGCCCGTGTGTGCTGAAGCTCCTCTCCCCTTCCTGAGATCCACTCACCACACTGAGCAGGGCTTCTCAGCCCAGGACCAGGGATGTGACTGCTGCAGAATCAGCTGTGGGACTCATTAAAATACCCTTTTTGGTTTCTGGCCCTTGCCCAGAAACTGCCTCTATAAAATGTCATTAGAGTCTTGAAATCTGCCTTTTAATGCCTCCTCTGCCCCCAGGTGAGTCTTTTGTCCATTAAGTGTTGAGACCCAGTGCTTCAGGGAACCACGCTGGCTTTTCTGGCTCCTTAGAATCTAGCAGAAGCCTGAAACCCACTGGGCAAGTTCTCATCTGTTGCCGAATTAATGCTTTTGCCTGACTGTGGCTGCCCAGGAAGGGCCTGAGGACCAGACCTCAAACACCTGGACTGGGGGCACATGGCTGTGAATAGCCAAGGAGTAGAGTTATGCATGATTCATGATCCCACAATTGTTAATATTCACATATAAAGCGAAAAAACTCCTCGTCTTATAAATATTTTATGAGCTTAGAAATTACAGTTCTACCTATAAAGGAAGAGTGAATAACTTGCTTTTGACTCAAAAGAAAGTGATGCTTTGGGGTAGGAGAAAGAGGCAAGAGGCTGGGCATGGTGGCTCATGCCTATAATCCCAGCACTTTGGGAAGCCAAGGCAGGCAGATTGCTTGAGGCCAGGGGTTCTAGACCAGACTGGGCAACATGGCAAAACCCTGTCTCTGTTTAAAAAAAAAAAAAAAAAAATTAGCTGAGTGTGGTGGCACACGCCTGTGATCTCAGCTGCTCAGGAGGCTGAGGTGGGAGAATTACCTGAGCCCAGGAAGTCAAGGCTGCAGTGAGCCATGATCGCACTGCTGCACTCCAGCCTGGGCAACAGAGTGAGACCCTTTCTCAAAAAAAAAAAAAAGGTCTAGGTGCAGTGGCTCACACTTGTCATCCCAGCACTTTGGGAGGCCAAGGCAGGTGTTATCATGAGGTCAGGAGTTCGAGATCAGCCTTGCCAACATAGTGAAACCCCGTCTCTACTAAAAATACAAAAAAATTAACCAGGCATGGTGGCAGGTGCCTGTGTAATCCCAGCTACTTGGGAGGCTGAGGCAAGGAGAATCGCTTGAACCTGAGAGGCAGAGATTGCAATGAGCTGAGACTGTGCCACTGCACTCCAGCCCAGGCGACAGTGCGAGAACTCCGTCTAAAAAAAAAAAAAGGCTGGTAGCGGTGGCTCATGCCTGTAATCCCAGCACTTTGGGAGGCCGAGGCGAGTAGATCACTTGAGGCCAGGAGTTCAAGACCAGCCTGGCCAACATGGCAAAACCCCGTCTCTACTAAAAATACAAAAATTAGCCAAGCATGGTGGTGGGCGCCTATAGTCCTAGCTACTCAGGAGGCTGAGGCAGGAAGATCTTTTGAACCCAGGAGGTGGAGGTTGTAGTGAGCCAAGATCATACCGCTGCACTCCAGCATGGATGACAGAGTGAGACTCTCTCTAAAGCTCCCTGGCTGCTCCTGATACAGGAGGTCAAGGGCCTCCCTGTGAGAAGTGTTTTCGTCTCTGTATTAGAGCCTGGTACCATATGAGGTTGAGCAGAAGTGAAGAAACCCTGCTCTCCCGTGGTGGGTCAGGCCTCTTGCCTCCTATGCCTTAGGCAGTTGTTTGGACAAGCAGGTGATCCCTTCTCTATTCTCTCCTGAAAGATTTTATCTCCAAACAAAAGTTTATAGAAGGGCAAAAGTCACCCCTGACAGGGGGTCACCCCCTTCTACCTTCCCCTTACATGACTCGACTCCTGGGTGAGTTTCTGAGTCCTGCTAAGCCCTTTCTACACTGGTCTCTGGGGATTTCCTACCTGTTTTATCTGCATCGATGTGGAGTGGTGATCACATTCCAGGAACGGCCTCCTGCCCCCTCCGACAGGCCTGGCAGCTTAGAGCAACGCAGGGCCAGTGCTGGGCTGTGACTGTGACTATCGAAAGGGCCTGCCCAGGGCTTGGTTGTGCCGACTGAAGTCAGAGTTGCTGCTGTCCTGTTTAGCCTCAGAGCTGAGCACTTCTCCCAGCCTGATGGCTCTTGTGGCATGGCCCCCTTGCCTAGTCACGTGGGAAGGGCATTCCTTGGGTTTTTTTCTTCCTACCTCCCTCTAGCCCTGCACCCTTCACAGGGAGTTGCTTGTACCCTAGGACTTGCCTAGAGAGGTCAGCCTCATTGCAGAGGGTCTTTTTAAAATCAATAATGTTTCTAGTAAGAACTGACCCTCTCAGTATGCCACCAGACTCAGAGATTTGCTGACTTAGTGGCAAGTCCAAATTCCAGATTTTCTTGTATCCATGAGTCAATTATAGAGGGTAGGATGGTTCTGTCATGCTTTTTTGGAAGCAGTCTATTGCCCCAACTAGCTCCAATGGGAACTCAGCAACACTGGGTCCTTGACTTCAGCAGGGTTCTGTGGAAAGAGTAGGATGGTAGGGTCAAATAGACCTGGATTCAGATGTGTGCTCTGTGAAGTCAGGCGAGGTATTGAACTTCTCTAAACCTCAGTGTTCTCATCTGACCCCTAAATTCATCTTTGAAGTCCTAACCCCCATGTGATGGTATTTGGAGATGGGGCCTTTGGGAGATAATTAGGTTTAGATAAGGCCATGATGTGGGGCCCTCATGCTCGAGTTAGGCCCTTATAAGAAGAGACACCAGAGCCTGACCACGCAGGCTGCCTGATCTTGGACTTCCAGCCTCCATAACTGTGAGAAAATAAATTTCTGTTGGCTCAAGCCACCCAGTTTATGGTATTTTATTATGACAGGCCAAGGTAACTGAGACAGATGCACCTTTCGAGAATTAATTATTGTGGGTGTGAATTCTTGTAAGTGCATGTAAAACTTATTAGTAGCTGACTTTTGGGGGTTACATGCATGTAAAGTGCCTGGTGCTGTTCATGATAAATGCTTAGCAGCTGTGAGGACCTACCCTCTAGTTCCAGGTACCAGACACCACTCCTGCTTCTCAAACGTGTGGTCCTTTGGGAGGTTAGACACCTAAGAGCTACCCTGCATGTTCTGGACAAGCTAACGAATTCTTCTACCAAGGCAAGAGAAATAAAACAGATCCCCAAACACTGCCCAAGACCTAGTGTCATCAGTCTGGGGCTGGAGGAAACCAGGGCTGTAGACCCTTTGCCCAAGAGTTAGACATTCACCTGAGCCGCTCCCCATGAGCGGTCATTCTGGATGGCCCATCTGTTCATTTAATAAGCACTTACTTAGCACCCACTATGTGCCACGCATTCATTTAAACCCTTAAATGCGTTTAAACTTCGTAACAACTCTATGATGTAGGTGCAATGATCATGCTCACTTTACAGTCAAGGAAATTGAGGCTCAGGGAGGTTAAATAACTTGAGTAAGGTCACACGGCCAGTGAGTGGAAGCACAGGGTTCTGGCTTCAGAGTCATGGCCAAAGCAAGAGGGAAGAATTTTGGAGGTCCTGTGTCCCTTCTTTTACCATAACTAGGATATTTCCTTACAGTAGAATCCATATTGATAACCAAAATAATTCAGTTCCTTATTCCCTTTTTATGTACTTAAACTAAAACACAGGAAGTCAGGTCTTTCTTTATTCTTTTTCCAAGTATCCATTAAGTGCCTACCAGGTACTGGGCCTATGCTGGCTGCTCTAGCGGGAGGGGCCACTGGCGGAAGGAACAGTCTATGTCTTCTGCGGCCTACAAATGACTGAGCATTCCTTTCAACATAGTAATTTATAAAAAGGCTGTTCTCTTTAATGAACAGGAAAAGGTGGCCAAAGGGGGCGGTACTTAAGTCAGAGAATTTAAGAACAAACACAGTCCTCTTCCTCAGCTCATAGCAGCCCTGCTTGCTCCCCGAGGAAAAACTTCGGTTTCATACAGGAGATGGGGTCTCCCTCTGTCGCCCAGGCTGGAGTGCAGTGGTGCAATCTTGGCTCACTGCAACCTCTGCCTCCCAGGTTCAAGCAATTCTTCTGCCTCAGCCTCCCAAGTAGCTGGGATTACAGGCTTGTGCCATCACGCCGGGCTAATTGTTGTCTTTTTAGTGGAGACGGCGTTTCACCATGTGGCCAGGCTGGTCTCATACTCCTGACCTCAAGTGATCCGCCCACCTCGGCCTCCCAAAGTGCTGGGATTACAAGTGCCTGCCACCACGCCCGGCTAATATTTTGTATTTTTTGTAAAGACAGGGTTTTACAGTGTTGCTCAGCCAGTCTGATTGCCCAACTCTTATATCCAACTGCCTACCCCTCCTCTCCTGGGGGTGCTTCAGAAGCATATCTGAAGCTGAACTCATGACCTGTCCCTGAACTTGGCCCTCCTCCTGTGCCCTTGATTCAGGCATCTACCCAGTTATGTGCACCCAGGTGATTCCTCTCCCTCACACCCCATCCAGTCTCTGCCAAGCACAGTCTCCACTCTGCCACATCTCTGCCATTGTCCATGTCCGTGCTATGTTGAGGTCACTGGGACCACTCCCAGCTGCAGCCCTGCGTCTGCTCTTCCCCACACTGTGGCCAGAAACGTCAACAGATGAGTCTGGAGACTGAGTGGGAGGCAGAGACAAAAACCACTAAGGGCCTTATGTGCTAAGCTAGAGGATCAATTATTCTTGCATCCAGCACTCACTATGTGCCAGGCACTGTTCTAGAAGCTGGGAATGCAGCCATGAATAAAACAGACACATCCCTAGGCCTCAGGGAGCTGACATTTTAGGGCTGAAAGACAAACATTAAACACATATATAACATCAGGTGGTCATATGTGCTATGGAGAAAATTAAAGCAGGGTAAGAGAAAAGAGAACAGGTGCTATTTTAAATAGGGAGGTTACGGAAAGCATGTCCAACAAGGCGGCCTCTAAGCGACTGCTTGGAGGACGTAAGGAGTGAGCCAAGTGGCTAACTGGGAGGAGAGTATGTTCCAGAAGAAAGTTCAGCAGTGCATGGGTTCTCAGGCAGGGGCATGCTGGCATATTCCAGGAGGCCAGGAGGCTGCTGTGGTTGACCCTGGTGGTCTGGGAGTAGGAGGAGCAAATGAGGCCAGAGAGGTAAGGCCTGGAGCTGCCAGGTAGGTCTTGTGGACCAGACAACGTGGCCTATTCATGGGTTATGAGGTGGGTGGCATTAACTGACTTGCTTTTAAAGGATAACTGTGTTGAGAATAGATTTAGGGAGGCAAAAGTGGAAGAAGGGAAGCCAGCAAGTGCTGAGAGATGAATTAGGGGGGTGGTAGAGGAGGCCAGAGGTGTCTTCTAGAGTTCATAGTGACTGACAGATCATGACCCCAGGGCCATTCTGTTAGGAGGCGGTGTGGGAAGTAGGGCAAAGACTCCAGGGAGGAGCCCCTGGGAGAGCCTGAGAACCCAGAAAACAGGCGGGAATAGAGATGGCCCCGCTCGCTGCCATGTTGGCCCCTTTGCTTTACTTCAGACACAGAGCCCAGATCAGCCGGGCTTTTCCAAACCTCCTGGCTGCAAGGATTGAGTTGACAGTATCCTCTCCGCTCTGGCCAGGAGCTGGCCCTTGTATTTGGGGCATTTCCGTGCAGGAGGAGTTGGGGGAAATCAAGTGGTAAAGCTGCCTCTCCAGGGCCTTTGTAGGGACCCTGCCGTGACAGCAGCCTGCCCCTGGCCCTGCTATTGCTGTAGTTACAACGTGCTTGGTTCTACTCCTGCAATGGGTCTTTGACTCCCTTATCCTCACTTCATTTCAGAATACAAGTCACTTGATGATTGTGAGGAGCTGGTGATCAATGCTACAGCAACAATCAACAATTTATCTTACTACCAAGTGAAGAATTCCATAATTCAAGACAAAAAGCTATATATTGCTGAATGTAAGGTTCAGAGTCGGATTTGGATAAATGAGTGCTCATTTGAGGTTTCGATTTTATTAACTAAATACAGAGCTGGAGACATTACTATCTTCTGCCTTCTGGTACAAAAATGTCTTACTTAGAACCTGATGATTCTAAGAAATTAGAATATGGGGAAACTAGAAATGGGAAAAATTAGTTTCTTAATTCTTGCTAAAGTCCCTTAGAGTTTGTATTTTATTATCATTTTAAAATTATCAGTATTTAGTATGATGTTGATTTCCATTAACCTTTAAGTTAAAACTTAAATTCACTGATTTAATTTCTCTGGTCACCAAATCCAGTGCTCTTAAAACTTCTTGTCAGTAACAACATGGATGGAATCCTGGAGGCTGTGCGTGTTTTCGGAAATCTCTCCCAGGACCGTGATGTCTGTGATTTCATTGTGCAGAACAATGGTGAGTTAATGACACTAGAATTCATAAACATTCACTTCTTGCCAGTAATCAGTGGAGTGGTTTTGGAGCTTGAGTCATTACAGTGTTGTACTTGTTTCTGCTTTGAGATTTGTAGAGCTCCGTGTTTAAGGCTTCTGGCTCAGGATGCCAAGATGGACCTAGGCAGTGTTCCCGTCTCCCTTGTGAATGGCCTTCTGTGCACCAGGATGGGGTGTGTGTATGTCTAACAGAAACAGTGAATCTTGAGTCATCACTTCTGTCTGGGGGCATATTCTCAAGAAGACATTCTCTTTTATGTACTAGAATGTCTATTACATTTTGCTTATAATAGCAAAAAGTAGAAACAACCTAAATGTCCCTCAACAGACAAGAGGATAAATTCATTATGGTATATTCACGCCATAAAATGTTCTCTAGCATTCACAAGCAATAGGAGGATATATACAGAGGAATGCCATGAATATAAGTTTTAAAACATACAAAACTATCTTGGGTATTGCTTCTGCATAGGTATTCATGTAGTGATGCTATACAGTATAAATAGTAATTGGAAATAGTAAACTCCAATTTAAGACAGAGTTCAGGCTGGGTCCAGTGGTTCAACCCTATAATACCAGCACCTTGGGAGGCTAAGGTGGGAGGATTGCTTGAGGGCACGAGTTTGAGATAAACCTGGGTAACATAGTGAGACATCATCTCTACAAAAATTAAAAATTAGCCAGACAGGCACGTGCCTGTAGTCCCAGCTACTTGGGAGGCTGAGGCAGGAGGATCAGCTGAGCCCAGAAGTTCGAGGCTGCAGTGAGCCATGATTGTGCCACTTCCCTCCAGGCTCGGAGACGGAGTGAGAACCTACCTCTGAAAGATAAAGATTAAAAATTTAAAAAGGACCGCGTTCACCTTTGGAAGGAAAGGGATGTCCAAAGATTATCATTAGACCTATAGTGTTATTTATTATCAACAAATAAGAATTGTTTATATTTATTATGTACATGTTGTTTGGAATGTAATGTTTTATTTCTCAAACTGAGTGGCAAGTACCCACATGTTTATACCCTTTGTATGTCTCAAATATTTTTGTATGTCTCAAATATTAGTATACTTTGACTCTTTGTATGTCTCAAATATTTCATGTAACAATAATAATTTTAAAAACATAACTTCCATGTTCGTAATGGAAAATTTCAATAATACAGATATAAAAAGCAGCAGCAGCAAACCATGCTCCAGCTCTCACTACCTACAGATAACTGCACATTTTGCTGGGCACTCTTTAGCCTCTTAAGAGCACATATGTATGTGATGTTGCCTCTGCCAAGCTCACTGCCCAACCCAGTCGACAGGGCCGGGGCTAGAACAGGGCAGCCCCTCTCAGGTGCATGCCCCGTGGGAGGAGGCGGAATGCACACCTTACTCACTCTTCCCCAACCCTTTGCTCAGCATCTGCTGAGGGATGAGAAAACAGGACAATCGGTTCCCAGTTGCATTTCCTAGGAGTAAGGGAAATTGGTTCCCCGGAGGCGGGAGCCTGTGCTGCCCTGAGATGTCCCTCCACTGGAAGGCCTGCCTTGCCACAGGTTGGTTTTCAGCAGTCTGAGTCTTACACGTGGCCCTGGGAGACTTCAGGAATGATCACCAGGAGCCAGCTCCCCGCTCCAGGACTGTGTATTTAAAGACAGTTGCTGCTGGAGGTTCAGGAAAACCCTTGAGAACAACTGGCAGTTAGATGAGTGTCACCTGTGCTCCCTCGTGTCCACCAGCAGGGACTCTTTCACTGCCGTGGAGAAGCAGCTGCTGTCTGGGTCAGGTGTTGCAGTATCTGGGGATTGGGGGAGCCGGCTCTGGGAGTGGTGGGTATTGGGGAACCCACTGCTGGGTGATGGATAAAGCCTTAGGAAGAATGAGTTAAGTCCCTTAACAGGGATTCTGGGTTTGCAAACCACTCACCATTTCCCCTGTACCATCTGTAAAACAAGAGACAGCTGGGAACCCTGGGCTTTTACTGGGCTGCATTTGCGCTCTTCCCTCGTAGTCCACAGGTTCATGATGGCGCTGCTGGATGCTCAGCATCAGGATATCTGCTTTTCTGCCTGTGGTGTTCTCCTCAATCTCACTGTGGATAAAGACAAGCGTGTCATCCTGAAAGAAGGAGGTGGCATCAAGAAGTAAGTTTCCAGGTGTAGGGTACTGACTCGGGATTTGAAGGACATCGTGTTCTCGGGAGCTTGGGTCCTCTCATCATTCCTGTGGGGCAAAGGGATTTCAACATTGGGAAGCCCCTAAGCTGAGGCTGAAGAGGGAGTTTCGATTCCACTGGATACTTAAAATGGTGCAGAAATAGGCCGGGCGCGGTGGCTCACGCCTGTAATCCCAGCATTTTGGGAGGCCGAGGTGGGCGAATCACTTGAGGCCAGGAGTTCAAGAGCAGCCTGGCTAACATGGTGAAATCCCGTCTCTACTAAAAAGACAAAAATTAGCTGGGCATGGTAGCGCATGCCTGTAATCCTAGCTACTTGGGAGGCTGAGGCAGAATTGCTTGAATCTGGGAGGTGGAGGTTGCAGTGAGTGGAGGTTGCAGTGAGCCGAGATCGTGCCTCTGCACTTCAGCCTGGGCAACAGAGTGAGACTCTGTCTTAAAAAAAAGAAAAAAAAAAGGTGCAGAAGTAGATTACTGCTACTTTGTAACCACTTAATTTTATAGATAAGGAATTATTTTAAGTGATCTCTGGATTATACTTATGTATCACAGAAGAATAATCATGCTAACAATATTAAAGACAAATTCTGACCTAACAACTTCTCAATTTGAACTTTACTAGGTTAGTGGATTGTTTAAGAGACTTTGGTCCTACTGATTGGCAGCTGGCCTGCTTGGTTTGTAAAACTTTATGGAACTTCAGTGAAAACATCACTAATGCTTCGTCATGTTTTGGAAATGAAGACACCAACACACTTTTACTCCTGCTCTCATCATTTTTAGGTAAGGCTCTTGACTATGATGAGTCTGTGAGTTTTATCAGAGTGTGAGATAGTTTTTTTCTGTGACCTGTTCAGATAAATATTAGTATGCATTTGGGTGACTATATTTCTATAAGCAACAAGAGTATGTTAAAGATTACTATAATTTGGAACTATCTGAAGAGGCTGAATGCTATTTACGATGGGGACAGAAGGACTTACAACTCACTAGATACAATCATGATTTCTTCTGTGGCTTTTTTTTTTTTTTGTTTTTTTTTTGCATTTTCTCTAAAGTGCATAAATATAAGACCTCAGCATAAATGTATTTCTCTTGTTCAAAAGCATATAGACACTGTTGTAATTGAGAAAATAGAGCTAAAAATGGCTAAAAGCTACTCAATTAAGTCATGCTTTTAAATGAAGCTGTATGTTTTAATTAGCTACATTAATTGTCATGTGGGTGAGGGCCTGTGAGACTATTTGGCATTACAATGGGGTTTATATCCTTGAAAGGAAGGAAATCACTGATACAAATCAAAGGAAAGACGATTCTTTCTTTTCTTGTTGCTCTGTCACCCAGGATGGAATGCAGTGGCGCGATCACTGCTCTCTGCAGCCCTAAACTCCTGGGCTCAAGTGATCCTCCTGCCTCTGCCTCTCAAGTAGCTGGGACTACAGACACACACACCACCATGCCCAGATAATTTAAAAAATATATATTTTTTGTAGAGATGAGGTCTTACTATGTTACCCAGGCTGGTGTCAAACTCCTGGGCTCAAGCGATGCTCCCACCTCAGCCTCCCGAAGTGCTGGGATTACTGGTGGGAACCACCTTGCCTGGCCAGGATCATTTTTTACATTTAAAAATCTTCTATAATTTTAGAGTATTTTTTTTTCATCCTGGGTTAATTCTAAAAACAATGATTTGGGTCGGTAAATGAGTGTTTTTAATAATCCTTTTTCCCAAGTAGAGGAGATGTACCCATCATTGCCCAGCCACCATACTGGATCCACATACTGAGGCCATGTGAAAAGGCTCAAGGTCACTCAGAAGCCATAGGTGCTGAGTTTTTTTTTTTTTTTTTTTTTGAGACGGAGTCTGGCTCTGTCGCCCAGGCTGGAGTGCAGTGGCCGGATCTCAGCTCACTGCAAGCTCCGCCTCCCGGGTTTACGCCATTCTCCTGCCTCAGCCTCCCGAGTAGCTGGGACTACAGGCGCCGCCACCACGCCCGGCTAGTTTTTTGTATTTTTTAGTAGAGACGGGGTTTCACCGTGTTAGCCAGGATGGTCTCGATCTCCTGACCTCGTGATCCGCCCGTCTCGGCCTCCCAAAGTGCTGTGCTGAGTTTTTAAAGTTTGAGTTCAACTTCTCCGCAACCTGAGAAAGCTTAACAGATACCTTTCCTTTACACTCCTTCACCAACCAGAGCAGAGGCTCCCAATCCTAGCTGCATAGCAGACTCACTTGTAGAACTTTTAAAAACACAGATTCTCAGCCGCTCCGAAATGATTTGTTATCATCTCCAAGATGAGGATAATTAATGTCCAGCTTGCAGGGTGATAAATGAGCAGATGTATACAAAGAGCCTAAACACAGTGCCAGCCACATAGCAAGTCCTCAGAAGGTGGCTGACGTGCTCTGGAAACTCTTTTTTTTTTTTTTTTTTTTTGAGACGGAGTCTTGCTCTGTTGCCTGGGCTGGAGTGCAATGGCTGGATCTCAGCTCACTGCAACCTCTGCCTCCCGGGTTTACGCCATTCTCCTGCCTCAGCCTCCTAAGTGACTGGGACTACAGGCGCCCGCCACCACGCCCGGCTAATTTTTTGTATTTTTTAGTAGAGACAGGGTTTCACCGTGTTAGCCAGGTTGGTCTTAAGTGTTGTAACACTATGCCACTAAACAGGAACTGGAACTCAGGAGTTGTTTGAAAGAATTGGGTGTGCTAGGTCGATGTGAAATTTGGTTTTTCCAGGTAAATATAATTTTTTATATGTGTTTTAAAACAATAAGGGAAAAAATTAAGCATTTTCTTTTAATCATTGAGCTTCACAGTTGGCTCCATGAGCATTAAACTGTCTCAGGTTGTAGGAAGCAGAAGTGCATGTTCAGGTTGCCTTAATTCAGTTCTCGATGGTGGTAGAGCATTGAAATCAGCCGTGGAGTTAAAAACCCCAAAAAACCAGAAACACCTTCCTGGCCCCAGCCCTAGGAATTCTGATTCAGAAGCTCTGGGATGAGGCTGAGAATCTGTGTTCAGAGTTCCACAGGTGAGTCTGATAATAGCTAGGCTTGAGAGCCCTTGCTCTCGTTAGCAAAGGAGCTTAAGGGAAGAGCGTACAGACAAGAAAGAAGCCAGGAAACAAGATACTGCTCAAAGCCTCCCAGAGAGCCAGTCAGGAGCTGGGAGTCCCAAGTGACCCCTCAGCCACTGGCGTCATGAGCTCCGCCCCCTGGGCTCCACCATTCTGGAGACGCAGCTGTGTTGTGTCCGCTGTTAGGGAAAGAATTTTCTCCCCACTTACTCCCTCTAGGCTCCTTCTAGATCGTGGCTTCAGCTACCTCCAGGCTTCCACTTGCTGCCCTCCCTGTGTGTGTCTGTTGCCAGGGCACTTTCCTATGTCACCCACTCAGGGAGAAGATACGATTGGCTCAGTGAGTCAGTGTCCTGTGGCCCAGGACTTTCCTGCGTAGGCAGCAGCTACCAGGTGACAGGCTACGTGTGGTTTCCTTTGTTACCCAAGTCTGCGGCAATCAGCCATAAATAACAAGGATGGTGGGACTGTGGGGCCGTGTGGCACAAAGATGGATCAGAAGGAGGTGTGGGCATGGCTGGCTTCTCAGCAGGGGCAGTGTACCTGGAAGGCACTTCATTTCAGTGGGCCCTGCTGCCTGTTACAGTCACCTCTTGGTATCTGGGGGGATTGGTTTCAGGGCCTCCCTCGGATACCAACACAGATGCCCAAGTGTCTGATATAAAATGCCATAGAATCGGCATTTCACCTACACACATCTTCCTGCACATGTTAAATCATCTCTAGACTTATAATACCTACAATGTGAACGCTTTGTAAATGGTTGTCGTGCTGTGATTTTTATTTGTATTCTTTTTATTGTTGTTGTTGTTTCAAATATTCTCTATCTGTGGTTGGTTGAACCTGTGGACGTGTGGCCCGTGGATGCGAAGGGCTGACTGTGGTCCATTCCCAACTTTTCCGTAGCCAAATTGGGCTTCTGGTCGTGCTTTTCCCGCCTCTGTGCCTTTGCACATGTTCTCTTTCATATCCTACCTGCTCATCCCGATCTGCCTATCCAGGTGCAGGCCCTTCCCACATAGCTTCTCAAGCCCACAGTCATAGTCTAGTCATAGGAAATCTAGACTTCTTATATAGCAATCAATCATGAATTGTGGAACTTGTCCTGTAATTATCCTGTATTATTATTTTGTGAGTTTTATTTCCCCTTTCCAACTGAACCACCTTAGGGAAAGGATATTGCCTCATACAAAGAAGGTACTTGATAGCAGCATGTGGATTGGCTACCAATGGTGGTACCTTGTTTCAATAGTGCTATATCCCTTTAAAAGCAGGTTTATTCTATTTTTGAAAGATCTCTCTGAGGCCATCAGCTAGGTGACAGATAAGGAAAGTAGGTTTTAGGACAGTTAAGTGGCTTGCCTGAAGTCACACTGTAGCAAAGGCAGGACTTTCCATCCGAAAACAACCAACTAGCCCTGTGTTACCTAGAACACCCTTACTCCACCCCACCCTTGCCGAGAGACTGTGGCATGGATAACAGCAAATAAACACAGCTCACTCAGGGAGCCAAGCCACTGTGCAGTGCATCCCCGGTTTCTCACGTGATCGAGAGCTCCTCTTCACGAACCGTGGGGACTGGGCCTCGTGGGCTGGGTGCTGGGCTGTGCTTTTCTCTCAGCAGTGGGCACTCAGACCCTGACTTCTGACAGGCTGTGTCTGGGCAGTGGGACTGCTGCAAGTGAAATGGGCGTGTGGGTGAGAGTAAATTTGCATTTCAATTCTTTTACAAAGATAGCTAAGAAACAAAACAACAACAACAAAAAACAAAAAACAGGCCATTTTGGAAACAGGATGAGCTATTAAATTACCGAGGCCCATGTTGAAGTATGAGCACTGTTTTTGGAAATACTGGTATGGCAATTTCTATAGTAATGTAAGTTACCTAACTTTTTCTTGCCAAGTGACTAGAAAAAAGGGAGAAGTAATATATCAACATCGTTGGAATGTTGACAGTCTTTCTGGAAAGTGGCTTTAAAAGAACGTGGTCTGAAACTGCCCACTATATTCCAGTTATGTCTTATGAGCTCATAAACAGTGTGTTGATGCTGAAGTTCTTAGTGGTATACTGAGCACTCCAGTCTACCATGAGCCCCTCTGCGGGGAGCTGACACCTGATGACCATGTGTGCAGTTTATTGTTGCAAATGGGAAGTACACTAGGCTGTTGTATGTTCATCATAAGTTATGTGGCAGTGGGCACTTAGGTTTTGTGACAAGGGTAGAGTGGGGCGCCATGTTCAAGTTGGAGGATCATATCAACCTATGCTGAAGAGCTATCAGGTGCTTCTAGAACATTCGACAACTTTACCTTATAAGAGAATGGTCAGGGCAATGTTAAATCCCTTAAACAGCCACCTGCTGCTGAACAGCTAGCTAGGAAATAGTGTAGTGAGTAAAGAAAGCTTTTATAGATGCTACAGGACACAAACTTCTAATAATGATTGTGTTGTAATGATCATTGATTATTGTAAGGTCTTTTAATCCTTTCTAATACTTTGCCCCAAATTTTAGTATTTGGAAGCATGCTGTGCCTAAAGAAAGCTTAAGAATGATTGGTTATCTAAATAAGCACTTTTCACACTGCAGGTTAGGAAATCAATTTAGTTGGTTGTGACCAGCATCTTTAAAAAATGAATGAACAAAGAAAGAAAATATCACAATATATTACATGTAGTAAGGACAAGTATTGCACTTGAAACATTTATTTGTATGTAAGTAGGTATATGTATACAGAGTCATGATGCAAAATACTATGACGCACAGTTTCTAACTTATGATGATTCAAATCTTAAAAAGAATTAAAGACTGAGTGCAATGGCTCGTGCCTATAATCCCAGCACTTTGGGAGGCCAAGGTGGGAGAATCACTTGGGGCTAGGAGTTTGAGACCAGCTTGGGCAACATAGTGAGACCCCATCTCTACTAAAAGTAAAAAAATTAGCTGGATGTTTGTGTTTGTAGTCTTGGCCACTCAACTGAGGTGGGAGGATCACTTGAGCCCAGGAATTCTAGGCTACAGTGAGCTATGATTGCACCACTGCATTCCAGCCTGGGTGACAGAATGAGACTCTGTCTCTTAAAAAAAAAAACATTGAATCATAGATCTAAATTTTTACTCAATCAGCCTCTGCTACTCTTTGCAGTACAAGTTCCAAAATTTAATACCCCATGTGATATGGCACTTTTAATGTATGTCACTGTATTTACTTTGAAACTTTAGACCTCATTTCTCTTACCTGTAGCTGTTTGGCTATTCTTGTTATCTTCTCTAACCCAATTTAGAATTAATATGGTTTGTGGGTGGATTAACTATAGGCTGGGCCTCAAGACAAGTAACATGGTCTTGACATTAGATTTTAAAAAGCCACACACCCAACAGAGATTTTGCTAAAACCACTAAATCCAACCAAAGCCCTGGGAGGAAGAAGGGACTATGACATGCACAGGCCATACTGCTCAGCCGCCAGCAGCTTGGGGAAGAAGGACTTCTACAACAGAATTCATTTTCTTTCTTTCCTTTTTTTTTTTTAATTATTATTTTTTTGAGACAGAGTCTCTCTCTGTTGCCTAGGCTGGAGTGCAGTGGCATGACCATGGCTCACTGCAACCTCCGCCTCCTGGGTTCAAGTGATTCTCCTGCCTCAGCCTTCCAAGTAGCCGGGACTACAGGTGCCCAGCACCATGCCCGGCTAATTTTTTTGTATTTTTAGTAGAGATGGGGTTTCATCATGTTGGCGAGGCTGATCTCAAACTCCTGACCTCAGGTGATCCACCGGCCTCAGCCTCCCAAAGTGATGGGATTATAGGCGTGAGCCACTGTACCCAGCCCATAATTTATTTTCTATATAACAGAATTCATTTTCTATACAACAGAATTTTATTTTTATACAGCAGAATTCACTTTTCAACAAGTTTAATGTTCAGAAAATCTGGAAAACAGTGAGTAGGAAGATGGTCTAGAAATCTGAAATCACTGGCTGGGTGCGGTGGCTCACACCTGTAATCCCAGCACTTTGGGAGGCCAAGGTGGGTGGATCACCTGAGGTCAGAAGTTCGAGACCAGCCTGGGCAACATGGCAAAACCCCATCTCTACTAAAAACACAAAAAATTAGCCTGGCCTGGTGGCACATGCTTGTAGTCCCAGCTACTTGGGAGGCTGAGAAACAAGGATCACTTGAATCTGGGACATGGAGGTTGCAATGAGCCAAGATCACGCCATTGCACTCCCGAGTAGACTCTGTCTCAAAAAACGAAATGAAATCTGAAATCACTGGGTCTACCTGACTCTTTTTGTCCGGAAGTAGCCAAACAGGAAGAGCTTTGAAGGCACCAAACACTGCCTGCATTCTCCTCCCCTCGGGGCCCAGTTGTCTCATGGGTGGGGAGATCCAGGTTTGCTTACAGGGTCTCTATGGAGCTCCTTGCCGAAGTGTTTGTGTCTGCCTAGAGTTTATCTCAGAACTGCATAGTTGACCACTTGGTTGTGATGAGAGGAAGGTACAAACTGGGATTCCAGACTCCCTTATCTTATTTTGGGTGGTGACACTAACACCCCTAGTGCCAAAGGACACAGTGAATGTACACAAATATTCAGTATAGAAAATCTGATATCAACGGAGTCATGAAGCATTTTATAATAGGATTTTAATTGGCCCTATAAAAAAGTGTTGGCAGCTGGGTGCAGTGGCTCAAGCCTGTAATCCCAGCACTTTGGGAGGCCCAAGGCAGGCGGATCACTTGAGGTCAGGAGTTGGAGACCAGCTGGGCCAACATGGTAAAACTCTGTCTCTACTAAAAAGACAAAAATTAGCTGGGTGTGGTGGCACATGCCTGTAATCCCAGCTGCTCAAGAGGCTGAGGCAGAAGAATTGCTTGAACCTGGGATTCAGAGGTTACAGTGAGCCGAGATTGCACCACTGCACTCCAGCCTGGGTGACACAGCGCGACTCCATCTCCCAAAAATAAATAAATAAATAAATAAAATGTTGGCAATGTCAGTAACAACATCTGTGGTTGTTTTAGGATTTAGTGGTTACCGTTTAAGAAGTTGGCCTCATGTCACAGATGTAGGAAGTGGCAGAGCTAATCTGACTGGCAGGTCAGTGTACTTTTCTGAAGTCTGTCACACAGGGTGCGAGGCTCAACATCAACACATAAAATTGCTGTGGCAATGAGCACAGAAGCCTCAGTGGCCATTTATCTTCCTACTTGGATTGAATATATGGTGTTCCCAGAATTCAGGATGCCCTTGGATTGGAAATCGAAGTTGTACTTTTGCATTTTATTCTTACAAGTTCTTTTCTGCATTATCCATGGGCTCACCTGGGATTCTAATATTCCTTAGGATTCCCAAGGCCTCCTAGTTTTCAGTTATGGAGAGAGTAGGGGGGTGGAAGGTTGTCTTTTCAAAGTACTGCTTCCCTGCTGCTGTGAAGCCAGCAAAGTTCTGAGTTTCAGTAAAGTTTAAAGTGTCAAATTTAACTGAACTACTTTCCTCAAAGATTTCCTGATTCCTTTTGTATCTAACCTTTGAAGTAATTAACTTTTCTATGTACACATAACGAAGTAATTCTGAGAAATTGTGATCGAACTTTTAGATACAAACTTACATATAAAAAACTAAGGAATTAGTTAAAGGTTCAGTTCAATCTCAGATTTTTTATTTTTTGAGACAGGGTCTTGCTGTGTCGCTTAGGCTGGAGGGCAGTGGCACAGTCATGCCCCACTGCAGCCTCAATCTCCCGTGCTCAAGCGATCCTCCTGACCTCAGCCTCTTGAGTAGCTGGGACCACAGGCACATGCCCCCATGCCCAGATAATCTTCTGATTTTTTTTTTTTTTCCTGAGCTGTCACTGTGTTGCTCAGACTAATCTTGAACTCTTGGGCTCAAGCAATTCTCCTACCTCAGGCTCCCAATGTGTTGGCATTACAGGCATGAGCCACCACACTTGGCCAGATTTTTTTTGAAAAAAATATTGCCCATTTAAATTAAGATACCAAAATATACTAATTGTAAAGTAATGGGCTTGGCGAGGTAGCTCACACCTGTAATCCCAGCACTTTGGCACGTGGGGAGGTCAAAGTGGGAGGATTGCTTGAGGTCAGGAGTTGGAGACCAGCCTGGGCAATACATGGAGACCCTGCTTCTCCAAATAAAATAAAATAAAATGATGTATTCATAAAGAACAGAAGAGAGTAAAGAACTTCTCTGAAATCCTATCTTGTGTTACGTTGGTATTAAAGGGTGACCGACCCAGGGTGAGTTTAACTCATATCATCAAAATTAAATGATATTCAATAGGATTACATTTCTAAATAATGCTGTAATTTAAATTTTTCTAATACAGATGAAGAACTAGCACTGGATGGCAGTTTTGATCCAGACCTAAAAAACTATCACAAACTCCACTGGGAAACAGAATTCAAACCTGCGGCACAGCAGCTTCTCAACCGAATTCAGAGACATCACACCTTCCTAGAACCCCGGCCCATTCCCTCTTTCTCACATGATGCAGGTGAACAGTAGAAACAGGAAGTCACGTCTCCCTCATTCTTAAGAACTGGTAACAAATGTGAACATTTTTTTCAGGATTAACAAACGTGGAAAGTTTTTCAAGAACTGGTTTTAGTGAGTAGCCGAAGTATTTTTTAAAAATAAGCATTTCTTCTTGTTAGGTATTATGGAAAAATGTATATACATGTTATATTTCCTGTTATGAGAAATGTAAGATGAAAATATATGCATTTTTAAGTAAATGACTTTTTCTTCTATTCTCTATTAAACAATTTAGTTCTAGTCTTAAAATCTTGATTTAGCAATTTTGGAATTAAAGTGTTCATAAGTTAAATGAACTGTGCAATGAAGGCTGTTAGATTATATAGAAAGAAGGGTAGTCAACGTGAGTGGAACATGTTACAACATAGGATCTATACTAATTCTTACTACGTCAAATAATAAGGGTTCTCATTTGGTACCAGTACCTTTTTGGTCCTCATATTAAGAGAAGGAGTAAGCAGAAAAACTTAAAGAAAACTGCTTTGGGCCATTTGTTCTTTATTAAATAAATAAAATAGATTAAAATGAGAGTTATCTTTTCATTTGAAATAAAATGACTGGACTAAGACGGTCCTTCTAATTGTAACTCTCCGTGTTTGACAGGTGATGTAATGTATTAGAAAGAATGCAGGCTTAGGTGAATGGTAGACCTGAATCTGAATCCACGCTCTCCCCTGCTACCTTTGGAGCAAGTAACTTAATTTCTTGAGCTTCAACTGTAAAATGGGAATCATATGTATTTTACTGTAGTGTAATTTGGAACAAACCATTAAATGGGCAAATGGCCCAGTCCAGTGTATGATGTGGAGTGGGTGTTCAAAACACCAAGCACTTTCTTAGTTTGCCATTCTTTGTAGGATGAGTTCGGCCTTTGAATAAATGATTAAAAAACAAAAGATTGAGATTACTATTGTTATCCTATACTAGCCAAATGAAGATGAGTTGGAAATAAAAATAAATTTGCTGACTCACACCTGTAATTCAGCACTTTGGAAGGCTGAGAGGTGAGGATCCCATGAGGCTAGGATTTCAAGACCAGCCTGGGCAACAAAGTGAGACCTCATCTCAACAACAACAAAAAGTAAATTTACTACTCTGCTTGGAGAAAGGATTTTATTAACAGCTCATTTCTCACCCTACAAAACACCAAAACTCATGGGATGAGAGTAGGCGTCCCAGACTGAATGGGTTCTTGAAGCCCATTAGAATCAACCAGCTGGGCATGGTGGCTTACACTTGTAATCCCAACACTCTGGGAGGCCGAGGCAGGCATATCACCTGAGGTTGTGAGTTCGAGACCAGTCCGGCCAACATAGTGAAACCCCATCTCTACTAAAAATACAAAAATTAGCTGAGCATGATGGCACATACCTGTAATCTCAGCTACTTGGGAGGCTGAGGCATGATAATCTCTCTCTCTCTCTCTCTCTCTTTTTTTTTTTATTATTATACTTTAAGTTCCGGGGTACATGTGCAGAACGTGCAGGTTTGTTACATGGGTATACATGTGCCATGGTGGTTTGTTGCACCCATAACCCATCATCTACATTAGGTATTTCTTCTAATGCTACCCCTCCCCTAGTCCCCCACCCCCTGATGGGCCCCAGTGTGTGATGTTCCCCTCCCTGTGTCCATGTAATCTTATTGTTCAGCTCCCACTTATGAGTGAGAACATTGGTTTTCTGTTCCTGTGTTAATTTGTTGAGAATGATGGTTTCCACATTCATCCATGTCCCTGCAAAGGAGATGAACTCATCCCTTTTTTATGGCTGCATAGTATTCCATGGTGTGTATGTGCCACATTTTCTTTATCCAGTCTATCATTGATGGGCATTTGGGTTGATTCCAAGTCTTTGCTATTGTGAACAGTGCTGCAGTAAACATACATGTGCATGTGTCTTTATAGTAGAATGATTTATAATCCTTTGGGTATATACCCAGTAATGGGATTGCTGGGTTAAATGGTATTTCTGTTTCTAGGCCCTTGAGGAATTGCCACACTGTCTTCCCAATGGTTGAACTAATTTATACTCCCACCGACAGTGTAAAAGCATTCTGATTTCTCCACATCCTCTCCAGCATCTGTTGTTTCCTGACTTTTTAATGATTGCCATTCTAACTGGTGTGAGATGGTATCTCATTGTGGTTTTGATTTGCATTTCTCTAATGACCAGTGATGATGAGCTTTTTCTCATGTTTGTTGGCTGCATAAATGTCTTCTTTTGAGAAGTGTCTGTTAACATCCTTTGCCCACTTTTTGATGGGGTTTTTTTTTTCTTATAAATTTGTTTAAGTTCCTTGTAGACTCTGGATATTAGCCCTTTGTCAGATGGATAGATTGCCAAAATTTCCTCCCATTCTGTAGCTTGCCTGTTCACTCTGATGATAGTTTCTTTTGCTGTGCTGAAGCTCTTTAACTAGATCCCATTTGTCAATTTTGGCTTTTGTTGCCATTGCCTTTGGTGTCTTAGGCATGAAGTCTTTGCCCATGCCAGTGTCCTGAATGGTATTATTGCCTAGGTTTTCTTCTAGTGTTTTTATGGTTTTAGGTCTTACATTTAAGTCTTTAATCCATCTTCAGTTAATTTTTGTATAAAGTGTAAGGAAGGGATCCAGTTTCAGCTTTCTACATATGGCTAGCCAGTTTTCCCAACACCATTTATTAAATAGGGAATCCTTTCCCGGTTGCTTGTTTTTGTCAGGTTTGTCAAAGATCAGATGGTTGTAGATGTGTAGTGTTATTTCTGAGGCCTCTGTTCTGTTCCATTGGTCTATATGTCTGTTTTGGTACCAGTACCATGCTGTTTTTTGTTACTGTAGCCTTGTAGTATAGTTTGAAGTTAGGTAGCGTGATGCCTCCAGCTTTGTTCTTTTTGCTTAGGATTGTCTTGGCTATGTGGGCTGTTTTTTGGTTCCATATGAAATTTAAAGTAGTTTTCTCCAGTTCTGTAAAGAAAGTCAGTGGTAGCTTGATGGGGATAGCATTGAATCTATAAAATACTTTGGGCAGTATGGCCATTTTCACGATATTGATTCTTCCTATCCATGAGCATGGAATATTTTTTCATTTGTGTCCTCTCTTACTTCCTTGAGCAGTGGTTTGTAGTTCTCCTTGAAGAGGTCCGTCACATCCCTTGTAAGTTGTATTCCTAGGTATTTTGTTCCCTTTGTAGCAATTGTGAATGGGAGTTCACTCACGATTTGACTCTCTGTTTGTCTGTTACTGGTTTATAAGAATGTTTGTGATTTTTGCACATTGATTTTGTATCTTGAGACTTTGCTGAAATTGCTCATCAGCTTAAGAAGATTTTGGGCTGAGACAATGGGGTTTTCTAAATATATAGTCATGTCATCTGCAAACAGAGACAATTTGACTTCCTCTTTTCCTAACTGAATATGCTTTATTTATTTCTCTTGCCTGACTGCCCTGGCCAGAACTTCCAACACTATGTTGAATATGAGTGGTGAGAGAGGGCATCCTTGTCTTGTGTCGGTTTTCAAAGGGAATGCTTCCAGCTTTTGCCCATTCAGTATGATATTGGCTATGGGTTTGTCATAAATAGCTCTTATTATTTTGATAATAATTCCATCAATACCTAGTTTATTGAGAGTTTTTAGCATGAAGGGCTGTTGAATTTTGTTGAAGGCCTTTTCTTCATCTATTAAGATAATCATGTGTTTTTTGTCTTTGGTTCTGTTTATGTGATGGATTATGTTTATTGATTTATGTTTGTTGAATCAGCCTTGCATCCCAGAGGTAAAGCCAACTCGATCATGGTGGATAAGCTTTTTGATGTGCTGCTGGATTCGGCTTGCCAGTATTTTATTGAGGATTTTCCCATTGATTTTCATCAGGGATGTTGGCCTGAAATTTTCTTTTTTCGTTGCATCTCTGCCAGGTTTTGGTATCAGGATGATGCTGGCCTCATAAAATGAGTTGGGGGGGAATTCCCTCTTTTTCTATTGTTTGGAATAGTTTCAGAAGGAGTGGTACCAGCTCCTCTTTGTACCTCTGGTAGAATTCGGCCGTGAATCCGTCTGGTCCTGGGCTTTTTTTAGTTGGTAGGTTATTCATTGCTGCCTTAATTTCAGAACTTGTTATTGGTCTATTCTGGGATTCGACTTTTTCCTGGTTTAGATTTGGGAGGGTGTATGTGTCCAGGAATTTATCTATTTCTTCTAGATTTTCTAGTTTATATGCATAGAGGTGTTTATAGTATTTTCTGATGGTAGTCTGTATTTCTGTAGGATCGGTGGTGATATCCCCTTTATCCATTTTTTATTGTGTCTACTTGATTCTTCTAATTTTTCTTCATTAGTCTCGCTAGTGGTCTATTTTGTTGATCTTTTCAAAAAGCCAGGTCCTGGATTCATTGATCTTTCGAAGGGTTTTTTGTGTCTCTATCACTTTCAGTTCTGCTCTGATCTTAGTTATTTCTTGTCTTCTGCTAGCTTTTGAATTTGTTTGCTCTTGCTTCTCTAGTTATTTTAATTGTGATGTTAGGGTGTTGAATTTAGATCTTCCTGTTTTCTCTTGTGGACTTTTAGTGCTATAAATTTTCCTCTACACACTGCTTTAAATATGTCCCAGAGATTCTGGTATGTTGTGTCTTTGTTCTCATTGGTTTCAAAGAACATCTTTATTTCTGCCTTCATTTCGTTATGTACCCAGTAGTCATTCAGGAGCAGGTTGTTCAGTTTCCATATAGTTGTGCAGTTTTGAGTGAGTTTCTTAATCTTGAGTTCTAATTTGATTTCACTGTGGTCTGAGAGACTGTTTGTTATGATTTCTGTTCTTTTGCATCTGCTGAGGAGTGTTTTACTTCCAATTATGTGGTCAAGTTTTGGAATAAGTGCGATGTGGTGCTGAGAAGAATGTATATTCTGTTAATTTGGGGTGGAGAGTTCTGTAGATGTCTATTAGGTCCACTTGGTCCAGAGCTAAGTTCAAGTCCTGGTGGATATCCTTGTTAAGTTTCTGTCTCATTGATCTTTCTAATATTGACAGTGGGGTGTTAAAGTCTCCAACTATTATTGTGTGGGAGTCTAAGTCTCTTTGTAGGTCTCTGAGAACTTGCTTTATGAATCTTGGTGCTCCTGTATTGGTGCATATATATTTAGGACAGTTAGCTCTTCTTGTTGCATTGATCCCTTTACCATTATGTAATACCCTTCTTTGTCTCTTTTGACCTGTATTGGTTTAAAGTCTGTTTTATCAGAGGGTAGGATTGCAGTCCCTACTTTTTTTAAAAATTTTTTTGCTTTCCATTTGATTGGTAAATATTCTTCCATCCCTTTATTTTGAGCCTGTGTGTGTCTTTGCACGTGAGATGGGTCTCCTGAATACAGCACACCAATGGGTCTTGACTCTTTATCCAATTTGCCACTCTATATCTTTTAATTGGGACATTTAGCCTGTTTACATTTAAGGTTAATATTGTTATATGTGAATTTGATCCTGTCATTATGATGCTAGCTGATTATTTTGCCTGTTGCAGTTTCTTCATAGCATCAATGGTCTTTACAATTTGCTGTGTTTTTGTAGTGGCTGGTACTGGTTGTTCCTTTTCATGTTTAGTGCTTCCTTCAGGAGCTCTTGTAAGGCAGGCCTAGTGGTGACAAAATCTCTCGGCATTTGTTTGTCTGTAAAGGATTTTATTTCTCATTCACTTACGAAGCTTAGTTGGGCTGGATATGAAATTCTGGGTTGAAAATTCTTTAAGAATGTTGAATATTGGTCGCCACTCTCTTCTGGCTTATAGGGTTTCTGTCAAGAGATCCACTGTTATTCTGATGG